CAGCCCCGGCCGCTGGAGGGGCCGTGGGTGCCGAGCTGGCATCTCTGTACGGGCCTGCATGGGCTATGAGGACCTGAGCTCCCGGTGCACGGCTTGGACAGACCCTACGGACACAGCGCTGCGACCTTCCCCTACCCCGGGCCCTGCCTGGATGGCTCCTTGTAGATGTGGGACTCTTTCTCCCCTGGGTCCCACCTGGATGCACATTGTAAATGCAGGACTCTCTTTCTCCCCTGGGCCCTGCCCAGATGCTCCTTGTAGCTGTGGGACTCTCTTTCTCCTCCTAGCACCCGGTCCCCGAGCAAACGGACCGAGGGCGTGGGGATCTGATCTCCCCATACATCCAGCCCCATGCCATACAAGGATCATGGGTCCATTTCCCCCCATACAAGCAGCTGCTGCCAGGATGGGCCCCACTGGTACAGGCTCAGATCTCTCCTCACAGCCATCACCCGGCTGGATGGATGCTGTGGATGTGGGGCTCTGATTCTCCCCGTGCACCAACCCCTGCCTGGACGGTATCCTGGGGGCTGTGGGGTCTGTCCTCCTGCGGAGCTGGGAAGCGCAGCCTCTCAGTGACAGTATGCCCAGTGCCTCTTGCACTCCTTCACGTTTCTCCCTTTCCTGAGCTCTCCCACTTCTCCCCGGTTTCCTCCTGCTTCCTGCTCTCCCCCAGGCCTTTTCGCTGCTCCGCTGCGGATCTGTCCTGTCCTTCCTGCCCAGGGACTCCCTGCAGCTGGATCTGCTCTTGCTCCGTCCCACACATTTCGCTGTTGCTCTCCTTGGCATCCACCCGCCTGTGCCAGCCCAGCCCTGCCCCAGCCGCCTCCCTGGGCGCTGCCACAACCCTCCTGTGCTGCTCTGCCGCCGCAGCTACCCCGCAACTGCTTCGCTCCAGCTGTTGCCCTGTGCAGTACGGCTGGCTCCACATGCCCTGCGCCGCTCTAGCAGCTTTCCCTGCTGGGAAAAGCAGCCACATGGAGTGTCTCCTGGTGTGGCATTTTTTGGCCAGTGCTCGGTGCCAGGTGCCACCAAACACAGCATAAACGCCGTGGACCATGAGCCCTGGGTTTTCTTCCTTGTCCCAGGAGGGAGAATAACCCTGTGGGCTAGAGCGGGGGAACTGAGCCTCTGACTTCTTTATAGTGGGAGCAGCCCCCTGCCCCCCCAGGAATTGCATGGTATTTCTGTTCTTCCAGGTCCACAGAAGAGAGTGGGTCTGTGCAGGGCACATTCCCTACGTGTGGGGAGGCAGAGCCCTGTCCCCAGTCCCTATGTCGTGGGGTCAGAGCCATCCCTT